CTATGTGTCCCTGTGATGGATTTGTCTCTATGTGTCCCTGTGATGGACTGGAGACCTGTCCAGGGTGTACCCCGCCTCTCGCACAGTGACTGCTGTATATGGGCACCAGTGACCCCTGTGACCCGAAACGGAAGAAGCTGGTGATGGATGGATGGATGGATGGATGGATGGATGGATGGATGGATGGACAACAAATTACCTTTTGGAGCCAAGAAAAATCAAGATGGCTGCCACAGCTAATCAACATTAGCCAACAGAAAAACAGCTGTTACTTTGTCAGTTTATAGACGTTGAGGTAAAATTTTAATGTGAAGGTAAATGAGAGTTATCCCCAACATGTGAGCAGACAGGAAGATTTCAGAACATCCTTTATGTTTTAAGATTTGAGCACAAAGCTACAACTCCATGCCTTCTCACTATAAAAAGACCTGAGGCTCAAACTTGGACTAGTTTGCAGACAATGTGCACTTACTAAAGAACACTAGGATTCTGATGATTTTTGAAGTTTTTACCACAAAATGTTGAACTTAAGAGTGTGATGATGTCATACTCAGAATTTTTGAGCAGTTCATATTTCCAAAGATTTTACAAGCTTGTTTTACTCCAGCAAACGTTACAAGTCTTATTCAGTTTATGCATTTTGTCAGCTTAGATTATTTCTCAGAAGTCCACAGTGGAGAAAGCTGACGTACAGTACGTTGGCATTCCTGTCAGTAGCTGGACTCTAAAATTCTTCAGACATTTCCTACTCACTTACACACTTCCATACAACCCAAGTCAGGACGTGTGTGAGTACCTTTGGTGGTGATAACTTCTGTGAGGCAGCAGCGTAGTGTGTGTGACTTGGCATCCTTTTGTGGCAGGAGACACAGCAGCAGGATTCTGGCTACACAGCGGAGGAAAGTCATCTCTGAGTCTGAGCTGACCAAACAAGGGTGGAGAGGAAACGGCCGAGCAACCTCCTCTGGTCTTTGAGAAGAAAGCAGAGCGATTAGGACAGGCGACACAGAACTGTTGCCAGACTCAGATAAGATCATATAATATACAGCCTCCATATCTAATGCTGCCTTCACCTCCGTGTCTCTGAAGACTGCTGCGGTGTTCCTAAACGATGAGAGGACAGACGTCTCTGCAGTGGGATCACATTTTACATCTCGTCTGACTTGTCAAGATGATAAAACCACATGATGTGTGAATCACTACTCTCTCTGTCCACTCTGTGTGCGAGTTGCTGAAGGAAGCCAGCATGAAGCATTTACTCTGCAGCAAACTGCAGTGAGTTCACTCCATCAGTGTGCAGCAAATTACAGCGTAGGTACAAACACTGCAGGGCATGGAAACGACTGACAGCAAATCAAAAGTGCAATATGATGTTTCTGATAGACAACAGTGAGTCATGGAGCAAAGAAAGCTGTGGTCAGGAGGTGTGAGGATGAACATCAAACATATCTTACTGAATTTACTCTAGTTTATCACAACAGGACTGCAAGGCAAACATTCAGTTACACAACTGTGCGTTCTATGTACCGTGCAGACGCAGCGTTGAGGTCAGTGAAGTGTGAGTGAAGGATTCGGATGCTGTCGTTGCACACCACGTTGACGAGGTCTATATCAGCCAGTCTGGATCTGAGCTGCCCGATCATCTGCCACCAGTCTTCCAGCAGCATGGAGTACAGCTGGCCTTCATCCCGGCTCAGAGGGATGTACCAGGACAGGATGTAGTCTCTGTAGGCCAAGTCGAACACTGCAGAGAGAACGACCAACAAGAAACCAAATGCTCTTTGTTCAAATCTGAAAACAGAAACAGAAAGCTGTAGAGATCTGTCATCTCCATCTTCACTCGCTGCCCTCTCTACCTGCCTGGAGGAGATAAGGGCAAGGATGAATCAGAACTTTCTTCAGTTAAACTGCTCCAAAACAGAGGCCATACTGATTGGCACCCCTCACCAGGTTCAAACTTCAACTATAACGACTATTTCATTTTCTGGACAAGACATCCCCCTCTCCACCTCTGTTACAAATCTTGGAATAAAAATGGACACTCATCTTACATTTGAAAATCACATTAAGCATCTGTTTAAAACCTGTTTCTTCCATCTTCGAAATATCTCCAAACTGCGCCCATCTCTCACTTTTGCTGATGCAGAGAAACTCATCCATGCTTTTGTCTCCTCCAGGCTCGACTACTGCAACTCCCTGTTTACTGGAATACCCGGCAAAAACCTTCAGAAGCTTCAATATATTCAAAACAGTGCAGCCAGGATTTTATTGAGAGCTCGTAAATTTGAACATATTACACCCATTCTCCATAACCTCCATTGGCTTCCTGTCACTTACAGAATTCAGTACAAAATTGCTCTCATCACCCATCAGTGTTTATACGGAAATTCACCAGATTATCTGAAGGACCTTCTTGCTCCATATTCATCCACCCGGTCCCTACGATCACAGAACAGTCATCTCCTCCACCTTCCACGAACTAAATTAAGAACCATGGGAGATCGAGCATTCTGTGTGGCTGCCCCCCGCCTCTGGAACTCCCTCCCTGAATATCTGAGAGCTCCACAATCATTGACTGACTTTAAAAAAGGCTTAAAGACTTTTCTTTTTAAGCAAGCCTATTCTGCCTCCACATGAATGTATCATTGATTTTAGTTGTTTGTATCATTGATTTTAGTTGATTTTATCACAGATTTTAGTTGATTTTATCACAGATTTTAGTTGATTTTATCACAGATTTTAGTTGATTGTATCATTGATTTTAGTTGATTTTATCACAGATTTTAGTTGATTTTATCACAGATTTTAGTTGATTGTATCATTGATTTTAGTTGATTGTATCATTGATTTTAGTTGATTTTATCATTGATTTTAGTTGCACTCTGTAGCACTTTGAGATTTTTGTTAATGAAAAGTGCGTTACAAATTAAATTCATTATTATTATTATTATTAGAGATAAGAAGACTAGTATTCACATTTTGATTTTGTGTAAAGAGCATTTTTGAAATTACATACCTAGCATTCCTTGGAAGAATCCATATCACCCCCCACCACCACCACCTTCACCTTTTAAATCCGTTTCAGACTGAGATGATTTCATGTTGCGAAAAGATGGATTTGTAGCTGTATTGATTAAACCTTTACTATGATCAATCTCACACTTAAAATATGTAATGAGAATGACTCCCAGTTACCACCAGCTCAAATATTAGTGTGTGAATATCCTGATGCATGCTCAATAATCCAGGTAGAAAAATCTAAAAAAGTTAAATCTGGTCCTCTGGACATTCAAAAAACAAAACAAAGCAAAACAAGAAAAAAAAAAAAGTAGAAACGTTTCGTCTTTCATCCGAAAGACTTCTTTCCAGACCAACTCAGTCTCTTAAATAGCACCTTCTCAGAGTGGATCAACCAGTTTTGCTGCTGACAACCAAAACCAGCTGATCACATGGTCAAGAAGGACCATCAGCCTAACAATGGATCATTAGCACACTGATGGCTGTTTACTGTTCACAGAGGGCTGAGCGATACTAGCAATCACAGCATTGTAAGAGGGGGACAGTTGAACCCGGAGGCCTCCACCCCTGTTTAATGATGGACGGTTTCTTTTCACAAAGATGGCCTCCTTTACTCCTCTCTCAAACCATCGTTCCTCTCTGTCCAGGATGTGAACATCTTCATCCCTGAAAGAGTGACCGCTGGCCTGGAGATGAGTGTAGACCGCAGAGTCCTGGCCTGATGATGTTGATCTTCTGTGCTGGGCCATCCTTTTGGCCAGTGGCTGTTTTGTTTCCCCGATGTAAGACTGATCACAGCCCTCCTGACACTGAACAGCATACACAACATTGCTCTGTTTGTGTCGGGGGACTGGATCTTTGGGATGAACCAGTCTTTGCCGTAATGTATTTTTGGGGTTTAAAAGCCACTGGGACGTTATGTTTAGAAAATAAACGTCTCAGTTTCTCTGATACTCCCTCAACATACGGAATGACCACTGGTCTGGGTCTGGGTTCCTCCTTTTCACCTGTTGGCTGACTGGAGTCCTGTTTGGGTTTCTTCTCTGCTTTCAGGAAGGCCCAGTTAGGATATCCACATTGCTCTAGAACCTGTCTTGTGTGGGATTTCTCCTTCTGCCTGGCTCCTGAGCTAGTGGGGACGCTGTCTGCTCTGTGATACAGAGTCCTGATGACTCCTAACTTGTGCTCCAAAGGGTGAGACGCCATCTTTGCTTTGAGGATGCTGATGGAGAAGTACAGAGATGGTCAGAAAGAACTCCATTGTGACTTTGTGGATTTCGAAAAAGCATATGACAGGAGGACAACAGGACAGGTTAGACTGTTATAGGACATGTATGAGGACAGCAGGACATGTATGAGGACAGCAGGACATGTTAGACTGGTACAGGACATGCATGAGGAAAGCAGGATATGTATGAGGACAGCAAGACATGTATGAGGAAAGCAGGACATGTATGAGGACAGCAGGACATGTATGAGAACAGCAGACATTAAGGACAGCAGGACAGTGGTGAGATGTGCTGTAGGATTGACGGATGAAAAAAGGTGTCTTTTTTTCATTCAACCTTTATTTAGACAGGTTAATCCCACTGAGCCTCGGGACTCTGTGTAAACTTTTGGTTTTCGCTACAATCCTCTTGGAATGCAGAGAGAGAACATCCAAACTCTCGTACACGTCCATTCTGAGTTCAGGACTGTGAAACTTGTCGCATACAGTTCAGGATATTTTTGGCACAACGACTGTTTACAGCTTAAGATTCATTGTTCTTGAACGTTTTATAAATGAAAACTTTGTCAGTTCAGAAACCATCTTATCAACATCAAACTGGTTGGCTCACTATGAGAAGGTGCCATTTATAAGAGTGAGTTTGTTGTGGCTCCTCAAACTGATAAAATCTTTTGGATGAAAGACAAAACGTTTCAACACAAAGAAACTGTCCAGAGGACCTGACTTAACTTTGTTGAATTTTTTTACCTGGATTATTGAGCATGAACTTTGATGTTACCAGTTTACTGTAATTGCCGGTGTATGAGCCGCTGCTTTCTTCCCACGCTGTGGCTTATACAATGCTGCACCTAATTTATGTATTTTTTTAGAATGTGTATGGTAAATTCAAACCCCCCCCCCCCCCCATGGGCTAATGAGGTTCCTGCCACCAAACACATTTACAATAACGTCATCACTCCATCACATTATTTATGGATGGCTATTATTTATTTATTATTTTTGCATTTTATTTTGACAGACTAACAAGCTTCCTGCCATTGAAGAGCATTTTGATTGAAACACCTGGGCGGTGGGCGCTAGCTACCCATGACACACCCTTCTAGGTGTGGGTCATTGTGAGACAGAGTGAACACCACATGTTCATGACAAGTGCCAATATTCTCTCATGGTTACTGCATAAAACAGTATATGACATAAAAAACATAAACTAGTATCGGTAGGCTAAAAAAACTGTCACCACTAAAAAAAAACAATGGTGTATATCTTAAAACAGCTAAAAAGGTTAAATGAGAAAAATATATTTTACCCATAACCCCACTCTGTCAGCCTGAATGACCAATAAAGTACTGTACTCTCATTGAGTCACGAGAACACTCCCCTGTTTAAAAAATAAATAAATCTGAAACGGCGAGGGGATGGGGACTGGGTGAACGCAGATGGCAGGGATGCAGATTCCGACTCAGAGTTTAAAAAAAAAAGATTGCCATCAAAAACAACATGAAGATTTTAGTGGTGGACCATCGTGGTGTTAGATTTATGAAATGAATAGGACTGTCCATCAGAGCATGGACAGCTCTGTGTTAGCAGCTCCCTCCAGACTACAAAGAAACAAAGTTGCACTTTTCACTCAAGCAGGGACGGCGGAAAATTCCATCGCGTTTTGTTTTTTGTTTTTTTTTACCAGTCATGTTCAGAAAGGCATTATTCAGAATTTTTTTTTTACCATACTGTACATAGCCTATGATTCTGGTACATCCATCCATCCATCATCTTTACCTGCTTTTTCCTTTTCGGGTCACGGTCTTTTCTGGTGCCCATGTCCAGCAATCACTGTGCGAGAGGCGGGGGACACCCTACACATGTCTCCAGTCCATCGCAAGGACAAATAAAGACAAACAACCATTCACTCTCTTACTCACACCTAGGGACAATTTACAGTTACCAATCAGTCTAACATGCAAGTTTTTAGTCTGTCGGAGGAAACCGGAGCACCCGGCGAAAGCCCAAGCGTGCACGGAGAGAACATGCAAACTCCACCCAGAAAGACACCCGGACTGGGATTCGAACATGGGCATCCTGCTCGCTGAGAGGCAGCAGCTCTACCAACTGCACCACTGAGCTGCCCGTTACTGGTACATATTTAAATAAAAGTTTTAAAAAATCTTTCTGTGTAAGGTAAATATCGCTCATAGCTAGAGAGAATGGGGAGGGGGTGTTCCCCCTCTGCGAGTCACAACTCGTGTGCTGCAGAGCAGAAGTGATGCAGAAGTTGTATCTTTTTATCTGTTGCTGCTGTTGCACTTGAATTTCCCATCCGTGGGACAATAAAGGCTGTTTCTATTCTATTCTATTCTATTCTATTCTATTCTATTCCAATCAGGTGCATTCTACAGACCAGCAGTTATGGTAGATTGTTGCCAAAGTAAGTTTCCAATGACTTTTTAGTGTTAATGAAAAACTTGATGTATGTTGAAATTTAGGCCAGTAGCTGCAGGAGCACCTTCCACAATTTCTTTGTTGTTGTTTTTTTTTACTTAATATGTAAACCTTCCATAAGATTTAATAACTGGACACAAATAGTTGCCTAACTTCTTTGAAGAAAACACTAAATTAAATTATTTAAATATAAAGGAAGAAGCAGGTAAAGATAATGGATGGATGAACGGATAAATTGTCCATATTTGATTTTGAAAGGATATATAGAGAGCAACGATGATGCATTACCTTCTTTCAAGGTTTTGTCTACGTTGTGTGACACCACCACTCTTCTGCTTTGGCTCAACTCCTGAGGTGGCACCAGAAAACGACCCTGAGGAGAAACAAATGCAAAAACACCAAATTACTTCACTCCTGCCTCAGACGAGGAGAACAGAACAAAACAAACATGCAGGGAGGAAAATGGGAGTATGGACAGGAGGTGAGGGGAGAGAGATAACTGAAAGCTGTAATGGGCCAGAATTTGTCATGGCTCAGGATGTTTCCAGAGTCAGGCAGACATATGTTTGTGACAACCTCCCTCCAACAAGTCATAAGTCAATATGATATGGCATCAATAAGTCATCATCAGCACCCAGCAGCTAAACAAGTCTGCTGAAAAGCAGCTGATGGGCCTAGGCCAGCCACAGTGAGCTTTCAAAAACAATCACTTACCATCGACTGTGGAGGAATCTAAAACTAAACAATTACAGATCAAGACTGAGAAGCAGAAAGAAGACAGAGGAAAGCGGGCAAATATTTTAATTTCCTGACACCATTTTTAAAACTTGGACCTGAGTGTCAAGCCATTTGGAGACATCTCTTGTCTCCTAACATCCCATGAAATGACACATTTTAATATTGCAGCAAGAATTTCTTGTTCAAGTTCAGAAGAAGTTGGTTTTCAAAGTTTTCTGAGTTCAGTCTGGCTCTTTTGGGAGAGAGAAGCTGTTCTGCTGTACTGAACAGTCTTTTAATAAGACCATAGGTGGCGCATATCTTCTGGCTGACTCTTGCGGTGGAATACATTTTGGGTGTGTTAGCGGTGCTGCGGATGCACCCAGCTCAGTGACATACATATACAAACCGGATTCCAAAAAATTTGGGACACTAAACAAATTGTGAATAAAAACTGAATGCATTGATGTGGAGATGGCAAATGTCAATATTTTATTTGTAATATAACATAGATGACAGATCAAAAGTTTAATCTGAGTAAATGTAACATTTTAAAGGAAAAATACGTTGATTCAAAATTTCACAGTGTCAACAAATCCCAAAAAAGTTGGAACAAGTAGCAATAAGTGTCTGGAAAAAGGAAATTGAGCATATAACGAACAGTTGGAAGACCAATTAACATTAATTAGGTCAATTGACAACATGATTGGGTATAAAAAGAGCTTCTCGGAGTGTCAGTGTCTCTCAGAAGCCAAGATGGTAAGAGGATCACCAATTCCATCATTGCTGCGCAGAAAGATAGTGCAACAATACCAGAATGGTGTTACCCAGCATAAAATAGCAAAGACTTTTAAGTTATCATCATCAACTGTGCATAACATCATCAAAAGATTCAGAGAATCTGGAACAATCGCTGTGCGTAAGGGTCAAGGCCGTAAAACTCTACTGGATGCTCGTGATCTCCGGGCCCTTAAATGTCACTGCACCTCAAACAGGAATGCCACTGTCAAGGAAATAACAGAATGGGCTCAGGAATACTTCCAGAAAGCATTGTCAGTGAACACAATCCACCGTGCCATCCGCCGTTGCCAGCTGAAACTCTACAGTGCAAAGAGGAAGCCATTTCTAAGCAAGCTCCACAAGCTCAGACGTTTGCACTGGGCCAGGGGTCATTTAAAATGGAGTGCGGCAAAATGGAAGACTGTTCTGTGGTCAGATGAGTCACGATTTGAAGTTCTTTATGGAACACTGGGACGCCATGTCATCCGGACCAGAGAGGACAAGGATAGCCCAAGTTGTTATCAACGCTCCGTTCAGAAGCCTGCATCACTGATGGTATGGGGTTGCATGAGCGCTTGTGGCATGGGCAGCTTGCATGTCTGGAAAGGCACCATTAATGCAGAGAACTATGTTCAGGTTCTAGAACAACATATGCTCCCATCTAGACGTCATCTCTTTCAGGGAAGACCCTGCATTTTTCAACACGATAATGCCAGACCACATTCTGCAGCAATCACAACATCATGGCTACGTAGGAGAAGGATCTGGGTACTGAAATGGCCAGCCTGCAGTCCAGATCTTTCACCTATAGAGAACATTTGGCGCATCATAAAGAGGAAGGTGCGACAAAGAAGGCCCAAGACGATTGAACAGTTAGGGGCCTGTATTAGACATGACTGGGAGAGCATTCCTATTTCTAAACTTGAGAAACTGGTCTCCTCTGTCCCCAGACGTCTTTTGAGTGTTGTAAGAAGAAGGGGGGATGCCACACAGTGGTAAAAATGGACTTGTCCCAACTTTTTGGGGATTTGTTGACACCATGAAATTTGGAAACAACAGATTTTTCCCTTAAAATGATACATTCTCTCAGTTTAAACTTTTGATCTGTGATTTGTGTTCTATTCTGAATAAAATATTAGATGTTGGCACCTCCACATCATTGCATTCAGTTTTTATTCACAATTTGTTTAGTGTCCCAACTTTTTTGGAATCCGCTTTGTAGAATATATGTCATTGGTCCAGCTCTTCTTGAAGGCAGGCCTAATGTTACCTGTCCACTTTGCAGTGATTCACTGGACCAGCTCCCCTCTCACCATTGGTTACTTTCAAAGTAACAAACAAATCAAAAAGCAGCAACATGAATGTAACTTGTAATGCAACGTGTTATAGAAATGTAGTGTAGTAGAAAAGTACAGACACTTGATGTAAAATGTAGTGGAGTAAAAATATAAAGTACCCACATTTAACTCTACTTAAGTGAAGTACAAAAAATACATGAAAAATGTACTTTAGTACAGTAACGAAGTATTTGTACTTAGTTACATCCCAACACTGATAAAGACACTACTCTTATGAGTTGTGAAGTAGAAAGACACTACATGTTTGCAATGAGTTGTGACGTATATAGATGCTCTAGATGTTTGTAATAAACTGTTGTAATGTATATAGTCATAAACATTACATGTTATAAACATTACATGTTTGTAATGAATTATGATGTATAAACATACCAGTACTATATATGTTCATAATTAGTAGTTAACAGGATAGATATAGGATAGGATATAGATATTTGTAATAAGTTGTGAAATATATATACCGTAATTGCCGGTGTACACGCCGCTACTTTTTTCTCACATTTTGTACCCTATGATTTATATACAGGAGCGGCTAATTTATGTATTTTTTTTCATAATTTTCACAAGTTATATTTTTATATTTTATTTTGACAGACTTCCTGACATCTCTCTGTAACTTCCTGCTGCTGACTAACATTTTCCTTTGACAGGGTTGGGCACAAACCTGTTCATTTGTTCAGCGATAATGGAAAACAAACGGAGAATTTCTTACGATGCAACTTTTAAGTTAAAAGCGATTGATCTGGCTGTTGAAGAAGGAAACAAAGCCGTAAACTTTGCATCAACTTATCTATGGTCAGGCATTGGAGACACAAAGCAGTCAAGTCTGGTACAAGTTTTAATAAAAGTTTTTTTAATTCTTTTTGCGTGACATCTTTCTGTGTACGGTAAATATGTGTTTCAGTGTTTCCCCTAGTTAGCTTGCAATGGCGGGGTGCTCATCTCATCCATGATTTTTGCTGATGGGGGGAGGGACAGAGACATGTTTGAGCGCAGCTTGTACCAATAGTTTTTGAACGGGGGCGGGGGGCGTTCAACATGATGGAAGAGGCAATGTGAGTGCTGCCTTGGGCTTTTTAGCTAGAGAGCCTGTATTTTGCGCCGCTGCCTTAGTGATATGTCAGTGCCGGGTGGGGGTGGGAGGGGCAAGTTCAGTTTGGTAGACAGGGTGCTCAGTTTTGTTAGCGGGGTGGGGCACCCCGCCTGTATAATGGTAGGGGAAATACTGCACTTAAATAACGGGATCTCATTTTAAACTCACATCGAACATGGAGCGGAGAACAACAACGGAGAACAGTGGAGAACAACAGAAGGTTCTTGCCCCCTCCCCTTCCGTCCTGAGAGCTCAGAGGAGAAGTCGTCAGATTTATTTGTAAAGCAGTCAGTCAAGATTGGTACATAATATTTTAATAAAAGTTTTTAAAAATCTGTGTATGGTAAATGTGTTTAAACACCAATATCTCATTTAAGCTCACGTCGTCTCCTCCGACAATGAGAGGGAGGGGCTGTGCCCCATTCCTCCTTCTCCTCATATGAGCTCTGCTGAGTAGAAATCACGTCAAATTTATTTAGAAAGTACATTTAAAAAGTAATGAGTTGTGAAGAATAAAGACGCCTTAGACGTTTGTAATGATTTGTTATTAATGTAGTGAACTTGACCTGATGTCAAATCAATGACCTTAGGATCATATGGTCAGAAACTGTCATTTCATTGATCTGCATCTAGAAATACAGGTTGACCCATCCTGAGACTTTCTTTCTTGAATTAATCAAGTGGAAAAGACAATTCTCTATGATCATTACTATTTTACAAATGTTTGATAATCAAATTGTGTTAGTTCAAACAATGTTTACATGTTGAAGTGAACTACTCATTTTTATTTACTTAAACAGTAGTAATGATTTTTATTCCTCATTCAAAGAAGAAATCAGGGTAATATGCATTTCTTGATTTTTCTGTCTTCAATGAGCAAATTTGTAAGTGTGTTAAAGTTCGAGCTTCGGTCAACTAAAAAGTTTACTGAAAAGAAATGTCATGTTTAACTTTCACAGCAGATACTAGGAGTAGAGACGCCACTAAGACTGGTTTTCTCCAACAATCTTTCTGTCTGTTCTTAAACAATCCTTGACTTTCCATAACACCTTACATCACAAACCACACCTCTGTTCTGGTCCATCCACGAATCAGAAAGCTCTCAAATGAACCGGAAGTATAGCCCGTTTAAATGTGGCGACTTCCCAGTTCAACGGTAGAGTTGAGAAGAGATGAGTCTGAGAGTCAGAGAGTTCACAAAGAGTTCCAGAAGAGTTCAGAGTTCTTGGAAACCAGACAAGCTGAACCAGAGACGATTTTGGGAATTATAACTTCTGTTTGGATAACCTCACACGACTCCTAAGGTTTTAGCTGTCCTCACGGAGACGCTGAAAGAGTCAAAAGGAGAGCTCTACACCGACGCTGAAGCTATCGTCTGCAAGGTAAAAGTTCTATTTCGACCAAGCGTACCGTTGGCCAAGCTGA